AGGATAACTACAAAGTCCTATGAGGAGGGATTAAATGATCTGGATAGGTTTAGAAATGACAACTAAGGGAAGATATTATAGCCATCTTCAAACATTTGAAGGGATGTTACAGAAAAGAAGGAGTGGATTCATTCTCTATTAATCCAGAAGGCAGCACCAGAACCACTACAAGGAAGCAGATTCATCAGGAGGAACCTCTTAGCTATACAAGCTGCCAGGCATAGAAACAGACTGCTACATGTGAGTTCTCCTTTCCAAGAGAACTTCAAACAGAGGCTGGATGGTCATCTGTCAAGGATACTTTACTGGATCTTCTGTCGAGCAGGAGCTGGATTAGCTGACTTCTATGACCCCTCCCAATTCTATGATTCTATGGAAACCAATTATGCTGAAAATTAAATTCCAGGATTAAAAAACCTGAATATCTGTAGGCCAAATGTTTTAAAGAAACTTATTTAGAAGTTATAAGCAAGGTCCTTCAGGTAGAAATGGGAGATGGCTCTAGATCCCCTTCCACAAGCTTCTTCATTTCCCTCACCCTTTGGCACTTGCATTTCTTTGCTGAACAGAGGAACATACATTTGTGCAGAAGGGAATGAGATCCACAGAATGTGTTAATTATGTTGTCAAAAAACGTTTTGCTTTGTTTCAGTGCTTTGGGTTGCTAGCCATCCAAAGGTTACAAATAGAAATAGCAAGATATTTGTAGAATAGATAGAAACAGTTTTGTCCTTCTTTCTTCCACCTCCTCCCTATTCACTGCTAATTTGAAGAAATATGATTTCTCTGAACATGATTGACAATTGGTACTAAACAGAGCAGTATGTAGGCAGATACTGTAAAGGCTCATCTTCTCCAACAACTCTACTTTATAGTTCATTTTCAGCACTTTTTCTGTTCCATGTTGGCCTACAAACATATTCTCTTTAATGGACAGGTTCACAGGGAAAATTTATGATAGGTCACTTCCACCTGGGGCCTTTTCACTGTGCCAGAAGTAACTCAGCACCTGTGCAGTCTCATATCATCATCTGTGTTTGGCTGCTGAGCCAATATATTTCTTGCTCAACTGCCATGTATCTAGATATGTTGAAAAGGTTGTATTTCCACTGGCAACGCTGAAGTTCTACAGAGCTTGCAGGTAGGCTATTTTTGCATTGGCAGGAGTTTGCCTTATTCCACCTGGCATCTGAGCTCCAACCATTCTCCATAGAAGTTCAGCTGCTATGGCATCATGCTGAGACAATGTCATTTCACTGGCCTTACTGGTGAATGGTTTGCATCTCACCCTCCTAGCACACATTCATTTTGCTCTGGAAATCACTAGGCAAATGCATAAAAATATAGACAGGAGGCAGGGAAGTTATTGGTACCAATTTTTGCACTCTTCTGTTTGTCTGGAATGAAAACAACTGGCTTCTCAGCATTTTGAAGACAGTGACAGTGAAAACAATCTATGGGTTGGCTTCCCACACCTCTTGAGGGATTGGCAAAGGGTAACAATGTATGAAAGTGCCCATTGTTTGACATTTGGCCCATTTCATTTTAGGAGTTGTAGCCCAACACCTATGGAGAGCACCAGCTCAGAGTTGGTTGCCAGCACAGGTTGGGTTGTGTGCCTCCACAGACCTTCTGGAATGTCTACCTACAACTTTTCAGATTTCCTCTTGTAGAGGCTTTA